TAGTGAGAAAGAATGAATATAGGATAAACACTACCAGTCTTTGTTACTTAGAGACACCCTCCCTGTCTCTGCTGTGTCATAAGAATCCAAGAACTTCCTTGATTCTAGGAAAATTAGGAGGGCCCTGACTTCATGGTATTTGCCATCTTTCCTGATGCTTCTTCAATGACATGACCTGCAGCCAGGCACCAGTGTGGGGTGAGCTCCAAGAATGTCACCAGAGAAATGTGTTGGCCAGAGCCTGCTCTACAAGCCACAGTGCTAGAGATTCAGTCTCCACAGACGCATCCATGCTGGTGTTCCTTTAGGTGACCAGACACCCCCAGATGGCTGGGTGGGAGCGGATTGCATATCTTAGAGAACTTGCCACCATGCCCTCCCACCTTACTCAGGCTCAAGGAGCTTAATCTCCCATGTGGGTTCACCTGTTTCTCCCTGAACCCCCAGAAACACCCCTTTCCCTAATCTAGGATAATTTAGGTCTCAAACCCCTATGGGCCTAGGTTTTGAGAATTCAGGTCAAATATTTCTTCTTAGAGCTAAGGAAACTCAAATCTTCAACATCCAAGACTGGGTTGGTTTATTTGGGCCAAGGGGTGGGGCACAGAAACAATATTATTGGGGGGTGGGGAATAAAAGATACTTTTATATTGACCAGTTAATATCCTTAGCAGTTTAAGTGGGACAACCAATAAAAATGTATTTTCACTTATGTGGAAGAAATGCAAATTATTTTATATAATTTGAATTTTAGAGTAATTGGAACTTTTTAAAATCTCCTTTTCCCCAAAGTCACTGTAATGTTAAAAGTCTAACACTTAATAAGTACTGCTACTATTCATCAAAAGGTAACTTTCCTTTTATTTTCTACAATGATAGAAACAGAAGTCTGTGCCTATGTGCTACTGTTTAATGATTCTTTGTCTAATCTCAGGCTTGTATTTTGCCCTTTTGAAAGAAAATGCTGCTTAAGTAATGAGTGAAGTATCATGGAATTTCCTAGATAAAAGCAGAAGCCTTATTTCTTAGAAGACAGATTTTTTTTTTAAATGTTTTTAAAAAATGTATCTTTATTGATTTCAGAGAGACAAAAGGAGAGGGAGAGAGAGAAATAGAAACATCAATGATGAGAGTCATTGATTGGCTGCCTCCAGCGTGTCCCCCACTGGGGATCGAGCCCGAAACCCAGGCATGTGCCCTGACCGGGAATAGAACTGCGATCTCCTGGATCCTAGGTCAATGCTCAACTGCTGAGCCACGCTGGCTGGGCAGAAGACATTTAAAAAACAATTTTTTTAAATCGCCACTGAGTTATTTTGAAAGAGCAAAGAGCTACTAAAATTGTATTTAATAATTCTATTTTATATTTTTTACATAATCATCCTAAAAATATAATTTTTTGAAGCTGCTTGAAAAAGCACAGAATAAAAATCATTATAATCCTTGTTACTATGTTTCTGTGAATGCTCAGAAAGGAGTCCAAAACTGGGTCACCGAATTCACTCAGTCCGTACATGTTTACTGAGCACATAAAACATCAGAGGCACTGTGTGTGTGTGTGTGTGTGTGTGTGTGTATGTGAGAGAGAGAGAGAGAAAGAATGAGATATAGACCCTACACTCATAGAACAAAATGTTTACTGGAAGGAAAAATATAAAAAGATAAGGCCAATTTTGTAAAAAAAATAAAAAATAATTGCCTTGTGATAACTATATATGGTGGCAGATGGGTACTTGAAACATTGGGGGATTGCTTTGTAACTCTAACCACTAAGCTACACACCTGAAACTAATACAAAATAATATTGAATGTAAATTGTAATTGAAAAATAAGATTAAAAAATAAAAATACCTAAAAATGGAAGAAAATAAGCCTAAATGTTAACGGTTCTGTCTTACAGTTTTAATTTTCTTTTTATTTTTTCATGTTTTTTGTAAAGAACATGTGGTTTTTACTCAGGAAAAAACTTTATAAAAATTTTAATATTGTTGAAAAAATGTAGTTGTGACAGACAAGGGATTTGGAGCCAAAGCCCTCCACCCACTATGTCCTGGGAATTCTTGGCTTTCTGCAGTTCTCTTTCATAGCTGCTTAAAATTCTTCAGTTGATCATAGTGGCTTTAGTTGCAGATTCTGAACCTATTAAGATGCAGATTCAATGGAAGGTCAGTAATTCTTCATTGGGAATGCTTATGGGCTTTGAAAAAATAAAAATTCCTGGTTCCTATGCTTAGCGATTTTGATTCACTAAGTCGGAAATAGAATTCAGTGATGTAAATCTTTACTCCCCATGAGATTCTGATGTGCACCCTGGGGTGAGAACTATTGCTTTAGGTTGTTATCAGTTATTTGAATCTTAGTATAAATGAGGATCCAAAGAAAAGTTTAATAGGGAATGAGGGGACATGAAAGGGCAGGAGCACCAATAACTGAAGGGATGTGGGCAGTCAGCACTGAGAGAAGCACAAAAGCCTGCAACTTCCTTCTCCCAGGGACTTGTGCGAAGAGATTATAAAGGAACAGAAGTATGATAATATCCCCGTTACGATATCTCAGCTTATCAGGACAATGAAACGGCCAAGCCCATGCCTCAGAGAGGTAGAATGCAATGAGGAGAGAGAGAAATAGCTTGGATCTTATGACGAACAATATGAAATCAACTTGAATGGGTCTCATTTTTGAAGGCTTAAATCAGGAACAGAGGTCAGGAGAGGGTTGCTGGAGACATATCCAGAGGGTATGATCTAAGTCTCCAGATATTATTAAAAAAATGGGGAGATGGTGTTAAACACAGGACTCTGCTTGCTTAGGTGATTTAAGGGACCCAGCTGGGACTCATCACGGTTTCAATACAGAGCCAAATTCTGCTCCAAGGTTTTCATAAATGACACACTATGAATGGTGTGTATACACGCCAAGATAGGTCCTAATCTCCATCTCTGTGTGTTACTGACAAAAGAAGATAACTACAGGGGTGATTTTTCTCTTATATCTTGCCAGAACAAAAGGAGATCCATCATCAGCCCCAAATAACTGTTGTTTATATTGGTACATTTTTGAAAGCTCTTAAAGCTCCACATTCCACTGTGTTACAGTAATTTCTTCCGCAATTCTTAATTGGAGCATCACTGCTTGGAAAATGAGCATAATTTTATTGCAAATACAACAATAATAAATCTTATAAATTTAAACCAGGAATCAAAGGCCCACTGAATTAGGAGGAAATCAAAGGACTGTAAAATGTATTTCATTCATTTTCGCCTGGGCGGTGTGAGTCTTCTCATGTCAGGCTCTGCCTGTTCCCTTATCATAATGGGCTAAACTCTGCAGATATTCATGATGAGATAGTACACTGTAAATTAGTAATTATATACACAGAATTCTGATGCTTACAAATGTTGAATGCATCCCAGGGGAAAGGCCTTTATTAAATACCTTTACATTTATCGGCTTCTAGGACCCATCCTCTTGAATTTAGTTTGGAAAGATGTAGCCAATGGAAAAATTAATTTTTTAAATATCAAAGTTAAAGGAAACGAAAGAACTCTCTAAACTCAACATGATGAAAATCAGAATTCCTTGTAGGAATAGAGATCAATTCCTTAGTGCCCTGTGAAGCCTACATATTTTCTTTTACTCATCCCTAGAAATAAGAGAGAATTAATTTAGAGAAAAGTGGCCATTATCAATTCTAACCAGGGGAGTAATTACCATATTAAGTATCCTCATGGTGTAGAGCATCGTAGGATTGCTGACAGGTGAATATTTTATGTTAGCATCGGTAAAAACTAAAGTCTTTCTCTTACTGGAAGTACCACAAGTTAAGTACTTTAAACAATCACAGAAAAGCTCATTTTGTAAGCGCAAGAAAAAGAATGCTGTGCCATATACTTCTACGATATCTTCAAAATGGTGATTCTTTCTTGGGAAAAAACAAAATGTAGTTCCTTCAATGGCAAGTCTTCCCTGCCGAAAAAGAGTGAAGAAAAAGCTGTAGACTTTTTACTACTATAACCGCAAAGGCCAAAGGCCAATATCTTGTCCTGTCACAGCCGCGGCCAGTTAACAACCTTTCAGAAGAGACCGCGTTCCAAGAACACGCACCAAAATAAATGACGTCACCTGCAGAGCAAACGGTCCTCTGCAGTCTCCGTCAGCAATCCTGGGCAGTGGCAGCTTATAAATAACCTCACTCAGCCCAGGCTGCCACTTCTGTCTGCAAAGCAAGCTCTGCTCCACTCCATCGACCTTCTGAATAATGACACTCAACTTCACTTACACACTGAAAAGCACTGCCAGGCTTTAAAAAAATGTGTTCATTAAAAAAACAACTGCTAAGTATGTCTCTTTTCTAAGATGTGGATAATTTCTACTTTTCATGATGCCATCAAGCTATGTCATCTCCCCCCCCCAGTGAAATAGGTGTGTCCCAGAGTCACACTACCCCTGCTCCGGGTGCCTGGCGCAATGCTGGGCCTATTGCTCAAGAAGGACCACTGGCTGATAGATTGTTCCACAACTGCAGTGTGGATTAGTCAGAGTAGGTGTCCAGTGCCAAATGAAAGATAGTGACCCTCCTTTGAACCCTCACTGGCAGCCAACCAAGGAATTTATGTCGCATCCATTCCAATTTCTGCAAGTTATAATGAAACACTTTCTGAAACTCATTAAAGGGAGAAAAACCTTGATTTAACACTGCTGGCATCGCCTTCCGCCTCTGCTGTCTTTTTTCTTCCTTCTGGTGTCCTCGCCTCCCCTCCTCTTTCCTTTCTATTTTACACCGTAAGCATTTACTGCAGGTACTGAGCTAGGGGCTGGGGCATATGCGAGGGAGAGGGAGCACGTGGGCCCCAGAGCTCCTCCGGCACCTGCCTGGAACACGGGGTTTTCAGGTGAACGCTGAATGAAACAATTAGTGACCAGTGACCCATGAGGCAAACGTCTCTTCTGAGTTTTAATCTATATTTCTTGGTGAAAAAAATAATTAAGTGTGGACATACCAGTTAACCTTCCAGTAATCTTGATCATGGGACAGACGTGGAAGATACTTTCAAGCGGTGCCCTTCACACAGTGTGTTGAGTGGGAGTCGTGCTCTTTCCCCCACCGTGGCGAGTATTTCAGGAAACAACACAAGGCCAGGCGACGCTCTCAGGGCTCTTCTGTGGGCAGAATAGAGACATATAATTTGGTACTTGGGAAAGAGAGCCTGGACAATTTATGTACCCAGGAATCAGAAGTGGCTTATTCACGACTTCTAAGGGAAGCCATGCATTTAAGGACTTGGTTATTACAACTGGTGATAAAATGCTGCTGTTGGCAGAAATGTTATCTTATGAAAGCTTTTAGGAGAAATCGTTCCCCACACTGTGAATGATAATATATTTAAGATTTCAATCGCACGTGTCATTTCCTCATTTTCAGAGCTGTGTCCTGGCGTGAAAACATCTTCTGCTGATGGTGACACCTTCATCGAAGTGGATGGGGTTGATTTTCTGCTGGGTGGTGACTCGAGTGAATCTTTCATGGAGAAATCGGAGGCACTGTGCTGCGTGGCTGGCTTTGCCCCCGGAGACCAGCGGGGAGAGCACAGGGCTGCTCTTCTATCTGTGACTAAAGAAGCCAAGAGGATGACTCAGAGGCCAGGCGGAAACGGCTCTAGGGATTCCTTCTTTCAGACCCATCAATGGGAGGAAGATGAATGGCTGGTAAAGTCACCGGGAGATTATAATTCTCTTCAGGCAGGTTACAGAGGTGCACCGACAAATTCTGTGAGGTGGGAGACAAGGAGAGGGGCAGGCTATGTAGCTGCTCTCAAAGCCATTTATCAGAAAAGAAAATGGCTCTCAATAAAATGACACCATGTCTAAAAATTCTCGTCTGGCATCCCTATCTGTTACATGCTGGGGTGTGAAATCAATGTGCCTTCACAGTCATCAGAAAATAGAATTGTGCACAAGAAGAATGTAAATATTAGATACATATATTTAATAAAACAAGCCGGCTTGCTTTAAACTCGGAAATAAATCAAGGCTAAAATTTCATATATGGGTTTGCTTGTCTATTTGACAAATTACACGGACTGGCAGGTTTATTAATACCATAAGTACTCCGCCTTTCTGATAAGATACGGAATATTTATTTTGTAATGTAGATAGCAGGATCTCACTATTGTTCTAAAAACTATATATATTATAGAGAGATAGACAGGGAGATGTTCCTCCCATGGAATAGTTATCAAAGATACATTTGTTGGGTGTGATGGGGTTCAGGACATCCTACCCCAAAATATGGTGCCTTGGCATACAAGAATGGCAGAAGGATGGTCACTCTGCCCCCCAACCCTTTCTCCCTGAAAGCAGGAGGTAAATCTCCCAGGTGAAAGGTACTCTCTCTGTACCAGGAAGAAAAAAGACGTTATTATCACTAGAGAGGGGAATTTGGGACTGAGAAATCTATAAAAACCAATCTTGTTAAACTAACCTTTATCTTCCTAGGCACTTCTTTACCATTCACTACCCCTAGCCCAAATCACTTAATCTTGTCAATTCTTCACAAATTTATTGCTTTTTGTCTAAAAGGTATAACAATTTCCTGCTCTGGTCACCACTTTGGGTCTTCATTCTCTTGTGAAGGCTTCCATGTACATGTAACAAAATCTATAAAATTTGTACACTTTTCTCCCATTAATTTGTCTTTGTCCATTTAATTTTCAGGCCCTGCCAGGGACCCTTAAGAGGGTTAAGAGAAACTTTTTCTGCCCCTACAGGCTGGATATAACCTTTAGCAGGATAAACAAGTCAGTTCAGCCATTGACCGAGGTTGTTCTGGTCAATTCGCAAACCAGATGTGAACTTGAAGTTCCCTTTGTTCAGTTTAAGAAACAGATGGAGGCCCAGCAACATTAAGTTTGAGGATGATCTTAACTGAACTAAGGGAAAATTGTTTTCTTTCTTTTCAGAAATTCTGTGAAGTACAAGTAAATTTAATTTTTTTCGAGGTGGTAGGGAGATGACTGCCCAGGGCATTCATGGTTAATTAGTACTTGTTCAAAGTAGGAGGGTAGAATAGAAAAAAAGAAAAATATATAGGAAGGAAAAAAGAATATTGTGGATATAAGATGTGGGTGCAGGTCAGAACTTTTGAGATTCCTATTATTATAAAGTCAATAGGGTAATAAATGCATAAAATATGTTATTCAATGTTAAACAGTAAAAAGTAATTTTAGGATTTCGTACTCAAACTTTGCTTTTCCTGAACTGTTTTTCCAACTTAAGGCTAACCACACGAATCAAGGCATGTTGGAGGGAAGGCGTATCTGCATAATCAAGAAACTTAAGCAGGTGTGGCCTGGCTCCAAAAATAAGGACATATTTTTATTCTCTAACTTGGCCAAAACATTCCGATTTTTAAAAAAAAATTATGGAATAGACACCAAGTCACAGATTAGGAGGAATGTATCCAAACCTTCTTTAAGCCAAAAAAAAAAAAAAAAAAAATCAATCTTACATTTAAAAACCTGTACAATATTTAAAGGAAGATCATAATTTTCCAAATTCAATTAAGTAGTAATCGGAAAGGTTGAGGCCTTCAGGACTTACGAGATATCAAATGACAGGGGGGTAAAGCCTTCTTCCTCAGCTAGCCGCAGGCATAGTCCATGCTGAAAACGAGGCTTTTCATTCCCCCTGGTAATAGGAAACATCCATCACCTCTGTTCCTGGGCCCAGCCTTAAACCCTTGCTCAGGTGGAGAACATTATTAAACGTTTAAAGAAAACTGAAGTCACAGAACGACGTCTCCCCAGCTTAAGATAGCATAGATTAATCAACGAAGACAATTTGTACAGGAATGTGAATATTTTAAATATTTCAAGTCCTCAGAGGCTACTTAAAAACTGATATTGATAAATGACTTTATCTGCAGTAGTGGTCGATATAAAAGTTAATTCATGCGCCTATCCCAGAGCAAGTGTGTAATAAACATTTGTTGTACCAATGAATCATGGTACACAAAATAACATAAAAACAATAAATAACATAAAAACAATCAGATATACTGTGTTGCTTTAGACAACATTCAAGACAACATCTGACCAGTCCCAGAATAATATGTTTTATTGTATTTATAATTTACTTAATATGTAAGATCACATATATTTAGTTTATGTTAAAATATAAATATTTACATTATTAATGTCATTTAAGAAAAATTCAATATTTATAATTGTATATACTGGTCTACTTTGAAAATGTATTAAATGTCCTTAATATAGCTTGACAACATTGTGTATATTGCAGGGAATCAACATGCCCTTTGAATAAATGTTACGAGAGCTCAGGCGTAATTACAGGGATCTCTTATGGATCTAAAAAACAACGTATTTTATACATTGTAAAATCTCTCTTTCATCTCTGGTCTTTCTGCATCGTGTCTTCTCTTTTCTACTTCTTTGCTCTATACAATTTTCACATTCATTTAACCTGAACTCCTACTTTGGGGGAAGGAAGGCATTCTACTTCTTTTTGCTTATGAATATGAAACTGTGCCTTTTTTATAGAGAGGTCACGTGAGCCAGCTAATGCATTAGCAGGTGAACAAGCTTTTACTGCCAAATGAGTCAGCTGAGAGGTATTAATTTATTTGAAAGGATGAGTTGACTATACCATAAAGAGGTATGGGTATAGCTGAATGGAATAGCTGCCAAGAAAATGTAGGCTGGGTATGGTGTGATTTGGCAAGCATCGGAATGTTTCCATGTTCACAAGATCTCCATTTCCTAATCTAGACTGCTGTCTCCTAGGTTCCTCTGCTAAAACCCAAATACTCCTAGAGAAGCGATGCCTTCAACTATTACCGGGTGTTAGTATTGATTAAATTGCTGATATCAACTATTACCAGGTGTTAGTATTAGATTAAATTGCTGATACGCAAACGTTTCGACCTACAAAAGTGGCGGTTTTATTTGATTTAACACCATACCTTCTTAGGGATAGTTCATCAGATAGCTTGTTATGAAACTGAGAAGAGGACAAGAAATCGTCGAGATGGGAAAGATCTGGAGTATGAAGTATTGCCTCGAGTCAGCCATGCTCTCAGGGCCGGATAACACCTCCCTCACTCTGAACCAGCGATTTTCAACTGGTGTGCTGCAAGAATTTTTAAAACATGCAATGCTTGACTACAGTATTTAGTCAGGGGCATTGACCTCTTTTCCCTCAGATTGTCAAATTAAAAAAAAAAAAATGACAGCAGCCAATACAACAATAGCTGTTCAGTGTGAATGAAACAAAATTATTTTTTGGTTAGATTGGCAAAAAATACATTTTTTTGGTGTGTCGCAGAATTTTAGTAATTCGTTATGTGTGCCATGAGATATAAAGGGTTAAAAATTGCCGCTTCAGACATAGTAATTCTGTTACTGCTTCCAAGATTATATTAGCTGCTCTGGTGGCCACTTTACAGGCTGGAATCACCCAAACTTTTTCATTTAGGTTAATTCTAAACCATGTTTCCTATGACTTGCCCTTGAACATTGTTTTTTAGCAGCTATAGTCTAGGGTTTAATGCTACTCTCTGTAAAAATTCATTTAAATTCAACTTTGCTCTCTAGTCTATCTGTACTGGTTAGTGGTTACTGAGTCAGAGAAAGACAAGTACCCCATGATTTCACTCATGTGGAATCTAATAAACAAAATGAACTAACCAGCAAAATAGAGACAGACTCATAGATGGGGGGCAGGCTGACAGATGTCTATCCTTCCTTTAAAAAAATTCTTTGCTTAATTAAAAAAATTATTTTATTGCTACCATTTTTCCTACTTATAAAATAAATGTATGGTCAAAATTAAAACATTAAAACTATTTATACCTTAGAAAGAAAACTTTCTTAGAAGTCTACCTGTATAAAAACCATAACATCTTTCCTTTAGGTATACAAGCTCACAGCAGAGCCCCAAATGCAACCAACCGCTGGTTTCTCTAATTACCATCCCTATTAAGATAATTCACAGTGGCATAGGGAGCAGATTTTTTTTTTTTTTTTTTACCCAGCTCTCTCAGATTTCACACAATGAAACATGCCCTATCTTTTCTCTGAACTTAAAAAATATAGATATGCCTTTCTCAAGTCCATGGTATAGATTTGAGCATCTCCATCATATTCTTCTTGGTTACAAGAAACACCCTTTTTTTTGGTGCTTCAGTTTTAAAATGAGGGGCTTGGGACTATATGGTCCATAAGTTCTCATAAAGCACTATTTTCTATGATTCTAACATCTATAGGAAATTGCACAGATGAGCAATGACCTTCCCAAGCATCCATGCCTGTGGCAAGGATCAGATAAGTGCCCCAGGAATGCAACCCTGGACAAGCCAGTGACAAATCTGGAATAAAACCCGAAATTCTTATCAATTTTTGAGTCTTGTTAATTAACAACCCTTGGAGGCACATGGGTCATTGAGGGCAGCAGGGATGTTGGTGTAGAAAGGTGGAGTCTTATTATAAAGCATTAGATAATTTTATTCTCTCTTTGCCTCAGTTCCAAACATATGAAAGGAGATAAAAGCATCTGAGGCTGCATGAGACAAGTTACGCTGGGAACATATACATCTTTTATTTTATGTGTTCAGCACTCTACTCTTCTGGGAACTGGCACTAACTCCCCTCTACCCACATGATTTCTGCTGGAGCTGCCATGTTTATTCATTCATTTGCTCAACAACTATTTATTGAGTGCTAGATCTGACACTACTCCAGGCCCTGGAGCTATAGCAATGGATAAAAACATACACAAACTCCTCGTGGAGCTTGCATTCTGATGGAGGAAATAATACATTAAACAAAGTCCGTAAACATTTGGTATGTCAGGTGAAACGTGCTACGGAGAAAAACCAAGTGGGAAAGCGAGTGAGGAAAGTACAGTGGTTGCCGGATAAAATGAACAAAACACTTATGTTCTGTAGGTGGGCCGGACTGACTTCATCTTGAATATTTTTGGAATTGGGTCGGAACAGGATGGCTTAAACCAAGAATGTGCAATGAGGAGTAGGGGGGAAAAGAAGGCCTTAAAAGAGGGTGACATAAAAGGAGGGTGCTGGGGTGAGGGGAGGGAGAAAGAAAGAGGCCTAGAGAGAGAGAGAACTTCCCGGATTCTGCAAAACGTTCCAATATACTTCTGATAAGTCATGAAAAATACATCCTTCGCTGCTCACGTCTGCTTCAAACTTTCTCTGACAACCCCTGGCTCTCTGCTTCTATGCCAAGGAGGGCGCCCAGGAAGTTTTGCCGACGCTGAAGGCTGCTCCCTGGGGTGCAGCCGCCCCACCTGAGGTCGCGCCGCCTCCCTGGAAATCCTGAAGGGGGCTCAGGTGCCCCCGGCCCTGGGCCTGCCAGTCTTTCAGCCCCTCTCTCCTGACCTCGAGACGACTCCCCTCCGCTGGCCTCCACGCCCCTGCACAAGGTTCTCACTTAGCTTCGGCTCTCACAACAGACCGCAGGAGTAATGAACCCCGATTTCAGCTGCTTTCCACCCTGCAAATCTCTCCAGAGATATTTTTCCCCCCCCTCGCGGCCTTTCTTTTTTGTGGTACAATATGCATCACGTAAAATTCCCCATTTCCACGATCTGTGCGTGCGCCGTTCTGTGGCTTCCAGGACGTTCGCATGGCCGCGCACCCCAGAAGTTTAGGGGGAGTCTGGTGATCCGACTGGAACGCGGGGGATGGCGAAAATGGATTCGTTGAGCTTCTACAGGGGTCCCCTAACTGGTGCACCCCAGCAGCGGAGAGGCATCCTTAGGATGCTAAATAATTATGTGCTAGAGGAGGAAGGGGAGGGGGGCTGTAAGGAAACTTGGGGGAACAACGAGGAAAAGCCTCAATTGTCCGACAACACTCATCACGCGAGGCGGGTCTCAGGGCGGAGGGCAGGTGGGATGCAGAAGAGCTTTCCCGCCGAAGATATACAGACTTGGTGCTCGGGTTCGGCAGCTTAGGGCCTGCAATTCTAAATGACACCGAACTAACACTATCTAAAGAGCAAAACGCGACAAGAGGAGAAAAACCACTTACTCCATCAGCGCCCTCAGAAGGGACCGCCGCCTCTCAGCCCGCGCGCGCCGGCCGTGGACTACAACTCCCACAGGCCCTTGCGACCACCCTCCAATCCGCGCAGCGTTGGAGTCGGGCGCGCTCCTCGGGCGTTGCGTCATTAGCGTGCGACGCCGGATGCGAAACGGGTGTGGGCTACCAGAGCATGGCAGCTGCTGAGGCGGCGGCGGTGTCGTCGTCGCCTTTAGAAACAGCCCCGGCCCCAGTCCCTGAACCTGCAGGAACAGGCGCAGCCACGGCCGCCACCTCG